AGATCAAACCAGACAGGAAGTCAGACACAGAACTGCATAGAGAATCCGGACAATTTTTTAAATAAAACACCCTGTGGAGACGCCCGATCATAAAACAGCAATAAATACGGTTAAAACATGCACAAAAGAAATCATTTAACTATGTAGCCTACTTAAGCCTAGTAGAAGCACAAAATGCAAACACTGACTACCAAATCAATAAAATCTAAACATATCAGCAAAATCAGGCAAACAAATGCTGATTCTGAAATGCTCCTTGTGGGATATGCAGCCTGAAGTTGACGGGTCACAGAGAGCTGTGAAAAAAGTAGTAGAAACCCAAAAATTACAAATTAATAACAAGTCATTAACGTGGGGCAGGCTGCACACTCTGCTGCTGAAACGCTTCTGAGATGCTTCCAATGGACTTTGACACCAGGCTATGGATGCATCAAAACCGTGGGGCAGCCGCAATGTGCCGTAGAATGTGAATTCCTGGCGTAAGTGTCACTAAAAAGTGACACTTTTTATAAAAACATGTTCACTCTACAAGCAACAACACTGTCACTAAGTTACTATGTCCCTTTATTTCCTAAGTGGCAGGAAAACTCACAAGGTGTGTCAACTGAATTTCCACATTTTCGTGTTTCCTCCTGATGTATTTCATAGTTGAGTTTGGCAAGTGCATAATGTACCAGTTCATTCAAAATCATTTGTTTTTGTGCACACTGTATTTGCAAGATAAATAAAAATAAAAAACACATCCAAAAAGTGATGGTTAGAGAGTGGTACATTCATGTCAATGGTAAATAACCTTTATTTTCACCACTCACAACTTGTCAAAGTAGAACAACCTTACAGCTAGTTGCTGTTTGAAGACCGGTTTGGAGCTGCTACACATTACAGCTCTGCTCTTCTCACTACACAAACAGAAACAAATGCTCTGCCGCACACATGTTAGCTTTAATTGAAACAGAGAAGGTAATGTGTCCTCTGAAGAGATAAGATCACATAAAACAAGAGAGAGTTTTAATGATGCTGATAGGAAAGTGGGTCACTGCAGCAGCACGATTTAGAAGAAACTGTAACAACTAGAGCATGTTTAAACATTGGAAAAAAATAACCTTTGTTATCATTAACCAAACTGAAAATGTTTAATTTTATTTACAAAGGATTTCCTTTCTTAGAAGACTCAGAACATATTACGTCTTTAATGTAGAGAACAACTTTACAAAATGAAAAAGCCTAAAAAAAACTGAGCACAGGTGAGCTGCTCCCATGACTGTCTCTTCACTTATGTTGCAATGTGTGATCTAAAAAGCCTTTCAACACCTGTCACACAATTGTTTAAATAATATCTGAACAGTCTTGGTTGCAGCATTTACCATTTCCTCCAAATGGATATCCAACCACTGAAGGCTGAGACCGTGCCAGTACCTTGCCAGCTGCTTGGCTCTGCCATTTGGCAGCCTGCAACCCTCACACTGCTGCACATTTTCAAACGTATCCAAGGCTGATGAGTGTCAACAGCTTGAGCCTGCACAGACAGTACAGCCAAGGCCAACAATATGACTAATGGCTGGTATTAAGGCTACATAGCATAAGAGGTAGGATTCACATGCAGGCTTTCTATGCACCCTTCAGCCTTCATTACATTTTCATCCACAGTGCCTTTGATGCTGAACACGTGAAAATGTCAGTTTTTTTACAATAATTTAGCTATCTTTTATTTACTTGGAGTGTTGTTTCCAGGTTTTATTACTAAAATGTTAATTTCCTGATTTTGTTTACTCTTAGTGATTCAAAATTGCCAAAGCATTTAGGAGGACATTTCAGGATTTGGAGGTGCTATTGCGCGCTATAACAAAATCAAGGGAGTGTGTGTTTCACCACAGTAAACCCTTAATAACTTCCATTCAGTCACTTCCACCAAGTGTAGCTTTAGACCATATCAGTCCATGTCATTTCTTGCAGTTCTGCAGTTACAAGAGATTCATGTAATTCCTGGAATATTTTAAATGTCTTGACAGATTTATCGCATGACTCATCAGGTGGAGAAAAGCTGTTGCTCTCAAACATTGGTCACTTAATCAGCTGAGTCAGTGTACTGGTAGGGATAGATCATATAGGCTGATAGATAGAAGGTTTGCAAAGTGATTTTATGGTACTTTGGGAAAGTATTTTTGAAATACAAAATACAGTGGTTTATTTTGATACACTTAAAATTTGCGTATTTTGCCTATTTTACATTTTGATGTATCTTTGCCCATGCCTGGTTGTGCTGAATGGGACAATAATCTGCAAATTGTGCTAGCCTTGGTGCAATCCAGCATCTTCTGACAATCCAAAACATACCTTTTTAAACAGTCTGCCTAAAGTTCACCAAGCTGATGAGAGATTCAGCAACCGCAAGGTGAGCGGCGAAGAAAACCATCCATCCATATCCACACCGGTAAAGCAGGGGAACGCTGAGGATTGTCTCTCTTTGTGGTCTTCTATACTCCAACAGGCAAGCAAATGCTTTAATTGCACCTTTGCATTGGATCAAGTCTGAACCAGAATCCTGCAACTGCTTTAGTTAAGAATTCTTCAAGCGATTATGCACTAGCAAATATTGTCAAAGATTGTTTCTCTGCTTACAGAGGAAACTCATGTTCTTTGGCTTTCTTGAGCCATTCAAGAGATCATGAAATACTAATCCACGGGGAGAAAGCAAAGCCAATGTGATGATGGAGTGGAGTATTTTAATATGGCCACCGAGGGGGAATGCACAGTACAGTACATTTTTATTGACTGCATTCTCTCCCTGCATCAGAAGAGATTTGACATCCTTTAAATAGGTCAAGACAGCAAGATGAAAAATGTTATTTTCTCCTTTTTCCAGTGCACTGGTTCACTGGTTGTATACAAAAGAAATTAGTCTGTGAAAGACATAAATGTGACCTTTAAAGAAATGTACAACTTTGACTGCTGATGCTAGTGCGTAAAGTCTAGAGAAGATTTTGGTTGTCTTTTGCTGAAAACAACAAAGACGTTTCACACCTTTGTCTGGACGTTGATGATAACTATTCTAGGAAACTGATGAACTGAGATGGGGTTCTTTGAGGACAAAGTGGGTACGTCCAAAAATAAAATTAACACTAAACTACTGGAAAGTATTGAACATATGACACTGGTGGAATTTGAAAGTGAAAGAAGATCTGAGAGTGGATGTTTCTGTAAAATATACAACTGGGACTTTTTTGTTATTTATCACTCAGAAAGTTCTCATATTTTACCAATCCAACTATGCACTATTATTGAGGTATTTATGGAAGGTGCGTTAATATGTAGTGACAGATGTGATCAACTACTTTCCACTGCTTATAGTTAGGTTTGTTAGACAAAAGTTGACGTTAGTTAGGTAAGTAAGTAGCCTAGTGGACATGGGTCACAAAGGTAACACTGGTGCTCTAAATGTATGTTAATATGATATCTTAAAGCTCAAATCTGTAATATTTTTTTTTATCTGTAACCTAATTACATTACCACATAATATGTAATCTGTAGTTTTTTTGTAAATTATGTGCCATTGTTCTATTGTTCTGGCACTTTCTATTATTCTGTTCCCGGTACATTGAGCAATTTCTGCCGAAGTAGAGTGTTTTCTGTCAACTGTGCAAAAGATTTCTGAATTAGAAGCCTTTGCACAATAGAAAAAATACAAGAAGATAAGAGATTCAGAGACAAAGAGCTACTTTGGAACAGCTAATGAACAAGCTGTTCAGATGAAGTGTCTTCAGTAAAATTGACAGCTATGCATATGTAAATATTTTATTTGGATAATGTTGGTTGTTAGTATGGTCTTCTAGCTCCTGAACATATGACCTGGCATAACATTAGTCACTATGCTGACACATTGTGTGTTAGGATGAAGTAAGTTTTAACCATGTGGCCACATCGTGTTTATGGGCAGAGCAGTGAAGTTGTGCTTGCATCAGCTGATAAACATCAGCTGTTTTCATTCATGCTTTACAACCACTGTCTAATCATGTAGTAGGTGTACAGTGTATACTCTGCTTCAGTGTATAAATTCACATTTGATGTTGTTAAATGTATCTATACAAATTTGTTGGCTGTCAGTCCTAATCAAGCATCTGATCTGGAGTTTTCTTTTGATCCTCGGGATGGACAAATTCATTGTAAATCAGCCAGTTAGTCCTCTAACTACCCAGAGTCTAACGTTTAATTAAATTAAATAATAAAACAGTCTAAGATGCAGGACGGTGTATCCTCTTCAGCTACTTACATATATGCAGGCATTCCCAGTAGAGCTGAACATCACACACACAAAGTTACTGTAAAATTTAATCTGAGTGTGAAAAAAACAACTCTCTCCACTCCCTGAACAACTCCTGTTAAAGTACCCTCAAGCAAGATGCTTAACCCCAAATTGGTAACAATCAAAAGGATTGTGTGAGTGCTGGGCCGCTCCCAGATGTGTGAATGTGTGTAACCCTTGAGGCAACTGCAGCTTCCAAAATCACAGATCTGATCCTGGAAGGATTGCCCGTAACATCAGCTGAGAACCTTGTTTTTGCTGAAGTGATGTAGAAGTGCACTTTGACATTACTGTTTTCATGTCTACATGATAATGATGGTGATGATAATGATGATGCTTTTTTTCATTATTGTCATGCATGCACATTTGCTCAGCCTACATGAGCTTACAAGACATCATAAATCAATATATTCCAGATCCAAAAAGTAACACATGCATTTTTAAATATTGCTACAAATAAATAAAGAACACCAACTGACTAAAGAAGTGTAATTATATTTTCAACTCTTCTCATGTCTACAGCAAAAATCATACATTTCTGATAAAGCATATGTTCTATCATAGCTCAATAAACCCATTAATAGTAAGATGCCTAAGCACACATTGCATCTTCTGTACCATAGTTTAAAAATAAAGAAAAATAATAACATTTTCTGTACATGTGCAACAAAGCTGTCAGAAGTCAATAGATTTGTTTATTTGGAAAAGTGAATTTTTTTATTAGAATTAAATATCACAAGAATGTTCATCCATTGCTTTTCTCAACATTGGCTGTGCAATCAAAAAATGGGCACAGGAAACTGACTCGTCTGTGCTGTAATGTAGATTTTAAATCAAATAATCAAAATAAGGCAGAACTTGTAACATTTGTGTCATAAACATTTAACTTAGACTAGAAAGTACAATGACGTAAAAGTGTGTGAAATTGCATCAGTATCATACAGTAAGTAGGGGGAAATATGCAGACAGGAGTCATAATTTTCCAGCAGAATTCCTGTTGAAAAATAAAGTTGAAATAGAGAGCGGAAGAGCAGATGTAGAGAGAAATGGCTGATTAAATGTCTTCATTGTAATTTTATTTTCTGTGCATCTTAAGCTCAGTCAGAACATTTGGACATTACCATTAAGTCAAATTGCGCACAGATCGCTTTCCATTGCCAGGAATCATTATATGCTCGTTCAGATTCATTTATAGTGTATGTCGTTTTTGTTTCTGTATACCTTTCTCACATGCTCCTCTCTCTTTCCATCTCACTCTCATACATAGAGGTCTCCTTTTATACTATTTTCCTCTCTAAACACACACTTACAAACACACACTGCATCTGTCCTCCCACTGCAGCTGAATGCTACACTCCTTGATCTAACCCCACCCACACCCTTCTCTTCATCACCTGCAGGACTTTCTCTGCTTCTTAATTCTGCTTGTACTCACCTGTCATTCCCTGTGGTTATGCTCTTGTCCATTCCTCTGGGTCCATCAATATGCTGGCATGCTGCGACTTGAGCTGGATTTTGGAAAGAATAAATTTGTTAGAAATGAAAACCACTCTTCCAAACTTTCTGTCTCAGAGGAAATTACCTGACCTGCATTCTGTGCTTTTTACCCATCTGCTGATTTGATTTTCTTTAGCCTGAAACACTTGATGTGTCTGAAATTCATACTACAGTACATACTTTTAGTGTACATTGTGTACTCATTTTAAGTTTTTTGTACAGTTTATCATTAGGCTTATTTGATGCACCACACATTTTCCCATTGGCTCATAAATGTTATTGCCAAATATTTAAGATCCATTTTTTTGTAGATTTTTCTGCAGTTTAATTCAATTAACTAGGTAAAATTTCAGGAATAAAAGCACCTATGCCCCTTTTCAGACCTATCCTGTCTTTAAAGTATCATCAATGTATTGTTCCTATCAGCAAGATCCTCATTTTGATGTAGATGAGAAACAGTAATAACTCTGGAGTTTGTCTGCACCTCAAAATGACAAATCCTTATCTGTTAACTTTCATTGTTGTCCTACTTATGCTTACCATCAATGTCAGCAAGATATATTTATCAGAAATGTAGTTTACAGACTACAGAAGTCTGAGCAGTAGGCCATGTGCAGTGCATCATTTATTTACACTGTTAACTGGAGAATTGGGTTCAAACAGGACTACATAAATCACCTATCCCACTTGATAACACTTACACATACATTTTATGGCCTAACAGAAAAAATACGTTATTATTTGAAACTCGTCTTATGGTTGTAGAAGAAATATGAGCAGAATGATAACAGAGTTTTTTTTTTAAATCATCCTCTCTCTCTTCTCCAGGGTCTCCTCTCCTCATCAGGTGAAGCACTGTGAGCACCTCTCCTCTCTCCCTCCTTCCCCACAGACGTCACCCACTACCCAAAAATCCCTAAATCCCACCTGGCCTCACCTGCCAAACCCCATCTGACAACTGCCACTGGCCCTCCCTTTACCCCATGGTGGTCCCAAGGCCCGCCCTCTCACTGCTATTGGCTGTCCTGGCCTGCACGGGGCCTGCACGCCCCTCGCCCCCCCTGCTGCTCCGGCCCCGGGAGAGAGAGAGGGACTCGGGTGGCGTCAACATCGCCGTAGTCCACTCGGGCTCCTCCCTGCTCCCGGAGACGGCGGTGGTGGGAGGTGCGGGAGTCGGCGAGCCGGGGCCGGGGCTTGGAAACGGTCCGGGCGGTGGTGGTGGAGGAGGAGGAGGAGGAGGAGGAAAGGGAGTAACGGATACAGCTTTGTTGGAAGGAGAGGATGCCATGGCCTCGTTTTCCTCCTCCTCCTTGTCAGCCCTTTCGCTGGCAGCGCTCGTGGGGGAGACGGTGATGACGCCGTCGGGTCAGGCTAACGTCATCTACCTGGCTGTGAATGAGAGCAGCCCAGGCAGCCTGCTGCTGCAGCTGTGTGAGCTGCTCGCCACCACACCACTACAGGTAGACATAATATAGCACACACAACCCACCTGGTACATAACTCTCCCAAGTCTGTGATAAAACTAAAGCTTATGCTTCCAAACACAACATAATAACCATGCTCAGTTACACTTAACTGTTATAGTGGAGACACAATGGCTCTATTGACGAATGTGAAGTCAACAGGCCCTGTTAATTTTTGCTGGATCTCAGGATATCCCGTGCATGATGGATGCAGTTTTCTAAACATAAAAGTGGATCTAGTGACTGTGAGGCCCCAATTTTTATTTTTATTTTTATTTTTTTAGATTCAAACTTTAAAGTTTATTTAAATTCACGATTCAGCAGGAGAGTGACGTCAGACGGTGATGACGTAGATTATTAAATGATGCACAAAAAACACATGAGACGAAAAAGTCAAACCGGAAGCCACAATTCCGGCGTTTTGTGGACTGCAGTAAATGTAAATGTAGGCCTATGTTTGAAGCCTCAAGTTGGGCCTTTCAGTCGTTACCATTTTGATTCCTTTGCAATCAGGCACCGGATGTGACCATATTTGGAAGAGACGATGGCATTAGCTAGTTTGGTTTGCAAGGCGATAATGATAAATGCATGTCAGACCATAATCATGTTGTTGTTGCCATGGGTTGGTTGTTTGTTCATTCAGCTTCATTCGTGTTCATTTTCATTGTACAGTTTGTTCATCTATTCACTCATCCATTCATTTAGTATAACACAGTCTACAACTTCAAGTTTGAGAGCTGGTTGTGATCTGACAGAGGTAATAAAGCACACTACTCTTGATTCATTTACCCATTAATGAATGAATAAATTCTCCTATGAAAAATCTACAGAATTTATGTGTCTATAAAATATATTTCTATCTCTCTATATCTTTCTTTCTTGTCAGAACAGTGAAAATGTCTTGTTAAACCAACACATTTTCACTCCCAACTCGTCACATATGGATGCTTGGTCTAACTTTTTGTTTCACATTGGAAACGAACGCCAGTCTCCTGGTTGAAAGTCCAGTTTCGGGACCACTGTCCACCCCAACCACCTCCTTACTTGGACTTTTCTGTTAAATATCCTACACCAACCTAACGTTACAAACTGACCCCAACATGTCTTGACCATATGTGACGGGTTGGGAGTGAGAACGGGTTGTATAAACATCTTAGATCAAGTATGATATTAACTCTTTTAAGTTACACTTGCCATCTTATTTCCTGGTCCTGTCTGTAGTGTATTTGCATATCAAATGCTTCCCTGTGAGAATTGAGCTGTCAGCTAAACTTAACTTCAATTTGCTCTCCTCAATCGCTACAAGAAAACAAGCATTAAGTCATCAAGCCATCCTCAAATCAGTATTGCTCAACCTCGTATCATTACAGAAAGAAATGGCAATTGCTGGAACTTTGCGTTTATCCTGAATTCATTACAGCTGCTGACAGTTCTTTCTTGAAAGGTAATTGCAACCAAACCCTGGTGACCAGAACATGCATACAATACGTGACTTGTTTGCAGAAGTAGTTCAGCATGTATGCAACAGCCATGCCTGTTAACAAGCCCCTGTAGGAGTTAAGTGGCCCATAAGCCAGGAGTTTATCTGTTGTGTGAAGCAGCTTAAGCTGCAAAGGTACAAAAGACACTCTTCTCCTGACAGGATGCCAGTCCACTGCAGAAACTCAGATTTTATCTCTGTGAGCACTGATTGCCAATCAGGAGTCACATTTTAAAAGCCTCTAACAGTTTTTTTATTACTTCATTAAACCTCTAGAACTCTTAGAAAAGATTCAGTTTCTTCAACATTCAAGATAATTGTTAGCAGGGTAAGAAAATAAAGTATTTATTGTAGAATGTCCAAAACCGAAGGCCGGCTGAGCATCTCAAACAACTGTGTTGAAACCAACCTTTTGTCTTGTTAATCTGGAAGGCAATCAAAAGCCCATAACAGAGTACTCATACTCTTGCTGTACTCTTAAAAACAGAACAAGCACCGTTGGGCAAGTAAGAATTTGTATTGATTAAGAGTATTGATGGTTGTATGTTGTTCCTCAAATGTAGGTCGCTTTGGATAAAAGAATCTGCCAAATGAGGAAATGTAAATGTAGAATGACTTGTTATCTTGAATACTGCAAACAGTGTCTGAACATACACATTGTTTAAATATATTTTGCTGTCTCATTCAGCCTTTAATTTATTATCGGGGTGCATAAGAATAAAAGAAACTTCAGCTTTGATGGATAAAAGTCTGAGAAGCTTATGAAATTGCATCTCAATGAGGCTGATGCCTTTTGCAATCTGTTGTTTTACTTCCAGGGTTTGGTGTTTGAGGAGGAGAGACCGCCACCGCCGAACCGCGCTCCTCTGGCCCCCATGCTGGAGTTTGTCTCCGCCCAGACGGGGGTTCCCGTGGTTGCTGTAGGGGGAGGTGCCAGCCTTGGACGAGAGCCACAGGTAAAAATGGATTACTTTACAGATCAACACTTTTAATTTCATTTGGAATAAAGCAAGGACTATCTGTGGCTTCAAAGATGATATGCAGACTGTAAAGTGTAATTTATACTTCTGCGTCAAATCGACGGTGCAGAGGCTACGCCGTCGCCTGACGTGCACCTTCTTAAAAATATAACCACACGTCGGAAGTGCCCCGTGCTTTCAAGTAACTTTTACTAGCGGCCAAAATGGCGGCTGTGAGCTCATAGCACACAGTTCAGGGAAACACAAAGAGGGAATTACATATGGGCACCTGACCATTGTTTTAAGAAACACTTGACAATTTGTGAACCTATCCTTTAACTTTAAGTGTCGTTATAGCCGCGTTTTGACCAAAAGTACCGGGGACACCCGGAACTAAAAGGTTCATTCAGCCCACTGTTGTGTGGGTTTCCACCGTGGTCTAAAGACCTGCGAAGATTAGGCAAATTAACCATCTGACGTAGGCTGTAGGCCTATATACCGTACAAAGCGATGCACAGGCATCATTATTTGTAACCACTATCCATGAGCAAAATTTATAAATCAGATTTGACTGGAATATAATGAAAAACTATAGGCTATGCTTGACCATTAAACAGCTTTTTTGTGTGTAATGTAATGAAGTATAATGAAGAGACACGCAATAAAGTTTGTTACAAATGTATTAACAAACTGGATAAAGCCATCAAGTTCATTAAAGAACTCCAGCACAGAGAATGAAACAAAAAAATAAAATTTCCAGCTGACAAGAGCTGCAGATCAGCTCTCCGGCTCCGGCTCTGTGTAGAAACTTCCCGACTGATGAAAACTTAAAACAACAACTCCGGACCCAGTATTAAGCGTAACTCCATCAGCAGTTTGCTGTAAACACACCGCTCCGCACTGGCTGCTTTTTCCGAGCAATATATTTAAAGCCGACGTATGATCTCATCGGCGAGACTTGTGTGGCTATTTGACTGTTGATTGTGATTTATTGGTTTGCAAACAACCGTGGAAAAGACAGGAGCAGTCACAGAAAAACACCTGACGTTCTCCAGTTAAACCCAGTAGCGTCTACTCGCCCCAATCAGAAATTCACTGCAAGGCAAGCCCCCTCCAAAGTACCAGTACTTTCTGAAAGTACTACCCTCCGAGCAGGGACTTTGGGGGGTAAAATAGCCTAGAACACAATTTAGACCCTGGTCCCTTAGGTGGAAACACAGTGAGTTCCTCTAAAGGTTCCTAGTTATGGGGTATAGTTCCTGTGGTCGAAACGCAGCTTCTGGTTCAATGTTGGTAATGCTGCTAGCCATTATGGGTAAGACATGAATAGATATGTATGTATGTGTGTAATTATGTATGATATCAGTAAATGACTGTCCAAACTGGACATTGGTCCCATTTAGTTCTGCTGAAGTGGGCATAAACTTGTGTTCTGCAGTCTGTCAGTGGATGTCAGCTGCTTGGTCTTTTTCCTTATTAGAATTACATCACTGACTTGGAAAGTTGGGTTTTAAGTTATAATTAATATTAAATTGTATTAAATTAAACTCTTAATTTTGAAATAGGAAATAAAGTCCTATGTGGAATAATACATTGCCTATAAAATTAAATCATCATTAATTGAATTTTGGGCCAGTTTTTGGCAGCGGAAGAGGTTGTAAACACAACATTATCATATTATGACCTTATACAGTTGATACTGTTAGCAAACAGTTCATTCATTTGTAGTTTTTGGTCATCTCATGAATGGAAGTCCAAAATTCACTCTTCTTTTAGCACTGTCTTGGCCTCAGTTAACTTCTGAGGGAAGTGTCTGGTTCTTTAGATTTTAAATGCCTCACTATGTTCACCTGCTAGTTGCTTACTTTGTCTGCTGTTTGCTGTTAGGCAAGTGTACCAGGGGATTATTAGAGCTTTTTTGCTGAAAACAGCTGCCTGCTGCAGCTGGAAATGTGTTTGAGAGCGGTGAGAGTCAACCACAAAGGATCATAAAATCAAAATTTGAGGTGAAAGGCATCAAAATGCTAAATAGAAGGGAGGGGAACTCCAGAGTCAGAAGCCCTTTCACATTACACATATTCATGGATCCATTGTCAATAGAAAAATATCAGTTAGAGTAGTTTTAAGACCAGCACGAGGCCTTCAGTTAATGTGATAGTAGTAGAAGACAAGCAGAAATTATTCCAGTTTTGCCCCGCTCTTTACACCACATTAGGTTTTCATCATATCAAGAGCTGGCACAGACTTTAAGCTAGACTCGTTTATCAGACTTTCTCTTCAGAAAGCCCTGGTTGTGACAAATATTCTAGGTCTGTAAGTAATATTGATGTTTAAGCCGCAGTCTATAAAAGAGGGCTGTACCTCATACTTTTGGTACCAGAAAATAAGTGAAGAATCTGTATTTTCTTTCAGACTGAAGACCCTTGTAGAATATAGTTATAGTTTTCTAAATGCTAGACATTTCAGAAAACATGCTGCTCTGACCTCATCACTAAGCAGCAATGAGGAAGATGAAAATACATTTTTTGCCAGAATTGCTCTAGTTCTGTCGCTGCTGCTAAGCTCATCAGTATTAGAATTGCTGCCTTTTAGAGTAGAGTAAATGTGCTGGTAATTTGACATTACTGGAGCGCACACTGTGTGAGTATTGCAGTAACCAGTATGACTCTACTTACGACAGTATGAACAATTGAAATCAATATATGTTTACATTAATGTTTAAGTGGTGAACATTTGTTGTTTTTTTGTTTTGGACAGTGTCAAAATGTGCGATTAAGTTCCTCATAATGACTGCTGTGTCACCTTGTTCTAAAGGATGCTTGCCTTCCCAATGCTACAGACTAATTAATGTACCACCTCGTCAACTGGTTAATCTGTGTGCGTGACAAAAGGTATTCTTTTGCTGACAGACATTAATGATAAGTAGATCAAACTAACAAAGCAGTTTAGCATGACAAGTGTGATATTCAATAACGGGCCAATTTGTTTTAACTGGATCTTCTTGACAGTATGATTTGGTTATTCTGATTTCTACATAACTGTAACTTCAGCTACAGTAACAGTTGATGTAACACACTCAGTTTGGCACTGAACTGTCAGCATCTGAAAATATTCATTATGAAGTGTTTGCTTTGAAGCAGCATGACGTGCAGAACTACTTTTGCACTTGTTACACTCAATAATAATATCCTTTGATTACATTTCTACAACTCTTATGTACTCCTGCCTCTACATTTACATACTATTGCTAGATTTTTATTAATCCTATTATGTTATCTACCTTTAATATTCTAACATATAGACTGATGTGGCTTTAAGTTTTTGCCCTGGAACGTCTAGTTCCACAATCACAGAGGAAAAACTGTTCAAGGGAGAAAACTTAAAAGTTAACATACCATACGATAACGCAATAGATCATTGATCTACAGGGGATTTAGAGGTATTTTAATTGGTTGAATTAAACCCCAAACAGGCTAGTGCTGGATTGCTAAAAATAAACTTTAATGGTACAATGTGTAATTCCAGGCCACATGCTCCAAATAAATAGGGGGCAGCATTTCACCTTGTACAAGAATTACATGATTTACTAATGACAGCGATGCGTTTTTTTTTTAACTACCTTGAATATGATTGTACAGAAGTCCCATAAGATGATATTTTTTAGCATCGTGGCACTTGTGATAAGATGATAGATAATTTGTGCACACAAGATAAAAAATAAATCATCTTAGGGGATTTCAGGGGCTCAATACAATTGCACATTGGGTACAGTTAGACACATCAAAAAACCTTGCAGTAAACTCAAAAATGTTTGGTGAATCTTGTCTCATCTCATATCAGTAATGCCAAGTGGTTACAATATGGTGAACCTATCAACATTTTTTCAGTAAGTCTGTTACTGGGTCCATACAGTCATAAGTTATTAAAAAAAGCCAAGTAGTAACTAGCAGCAGTTATGTTACGAGTCTAAAAAAAAGGTTGCAATTTAAGCATCAAACCGCATCTACTTTACTCGCAAAGAGTTGTCTCCAGTGGTGGAAAGCCACACAAATATTTATCCTAGTTTGCTTCTTTTTTCACTTATTTTCTTTGCCGCGGAACGTGATTTCTTGCTGGGAGTGGGTGGTTTGGATAGTGATAAAAGGTTGCTTGCCAAGAGCTTAAGCCATCTTTGTGCTTCTGTGACCCTATCTGGAGGCTAGAAAAAGCCTTGGAGTAGCTCCTTCGTCCTTTCATGTTGGACTGAGGGCAAACTGGACCTTGCAGAGACTCACTATCGCCTCTTCAGACACCAGTGGTATTTCAACACCGGCTGGGCCCGGGCTTGCTGGTTAGCATCAGTGGAGATCTCTGCAGCACAATACATAGATGTATTTGACATGATGTCAACTGTTCTTCACATTCTGTTGATCATGTTAGTTCATGTTAAAAATATTTATACACATTGTACCTTTTTAAATAAAATATTATACAGCATATGAGTATTTTGTATGCTACAGGTTAGTTTGATCAAGGAAAGGCAGCAGAGCAAACTAATAGATAATTTAGTATAAATTGATAGTCAATAAGTAGCAGAGTAGGGTTGAGCTAATCTCTTGTCTTTTCCACTGTGTTTGAGTCAAATGTTACTTTGCTGGAAAAGCAACGGTTCTTTGACCCTGTCTTTGGGGTTTAAAAGAAGTAATGGCATTTTTGACTCTAGAGTAGCTCTGCATTTGATAAATATTTGTATAACAAAACTCTAATCAGTTCTTAATTGCCTTTGGGACGCTGAGTCATGCATGTTTCCTGATACACGCCAAGAATTAATCAAGCTTGTGTCAACAGCGCTTCTAAAACTGTGACATGGGACACAACGTCAGTCATTCATTGTTTCTGGTGAGTGCTCACTTGACAAGAGTGCGAGTAGAGTATTTTAGTTTAGTTTCCAAGGGGACACAGAAATTTTGTTTTATGTTTCAGTCTATACCAACACTGCTCACTCACAGCATGTTCCCTGTGCACTCCACTCAAAAGCTGGGCTAAGAAAAGCAGACGAGCTTACATCATAAATCAGGCTGGTGCTGGTTTGATATTTGACCTAGTTCAGTGCAGCATAACCTGAGGTGAGCCCTGTCGACGTGGGAAGGCAGTGTGATCCCTCCCTGAAGTTTCCTCTTGATCATTAATTTAAACACATACTCACTGCCTCTTTGTTTTATGTTCAGAAGGAGATACATAATTCACTGTTAACAACACTGCTGAAAACTTTGGACAATGTCAAAAAGTGCATAGGCATATGCACAGAACACTAATGATAATTCCTTTGCTTTATTTTACTGTTTAAGCTTACATTCTTTTCAACTCTCAACCTATATGGACTTTCTATCATGTTCCTTTGTTCTAGTTTTAAGAAAAATACAATTGAAGAAAAGCCAGCAGAAATGAAATCCTCTTTCAACCAGTGAGCGGCTCATCTATCCAGATTAAATGTGACTGGAGCAGCAGAGAGGAAGGCGATCATTGTTTCTTTCATTGACACTGAAAGCCTTATTCAGAAGCCAAGGACTTTTTTGACAGACATACAGAGTGTGTTATTCCTGTGAGTGTTCCCTTCTCAGTGAAACTGAAGTTAGTCAGCCACAAGGCAAAAAAAACCCTGAATGTTGAACTGGATGATAACTAGTTTAGACTGCTACTGTATGGATACACTCACACTCATAACACATAACTGGGAGACTTGCAGCATTCATCCACCCTTCAGTCAGTGAATTTCATTCATGTTACGCAGTGTCCAATTTACAGTGAATGCCCGTATTCAGTGCTAGTGCAGGGAATTTTGTAAGTGGGAAGACAGAAAGTAGGCTAAGGGTGTCGTCTTTCGTCTATGTAGCCAGTGATGAAAATGTATATGTTTTTGTAGATTGCTTTCTGATCTGCTGTGCATGGTGCTCAAGTTGGAGGTACTCCTCTCAGGAGACTCTTGACAGACCGTTACAACTGCCATATAACTGAAGGTGTCAATGGGCTGCTTTTTGGTAGCTTTTTGTTCATGTTGTTGTTGAAGAGAGCACAGTTCAATGCCGCTGTAGTAAAAAAGACAAACATCTGTATCAGTGATCACTTACTACACTAACATCATATAAAAACTCACAAAAACAGTGTTAACCCCACAATCAGTGTTCTGTACTAGATTGTGTTGTAATACACAGCCAGTGGTGGTTAGCCAGCAGTAAACATGTGAGCAGATTTGCTCGTAGTGCTCATATTGTAGTGGTCATATGACCCTCACCTGGCAGGTTGTAGCAGTCCCATCGGACTCCCCATCGCCTTGAATGAAGGCTAGAAGTTTGTTTGTTTTTTTATAACTCTCCCCTAGCTATTCCCAGTGTTTGAGTTAATTACTTTGCACAAAATACTCTAAAAATGTGAGCAAATGTTTCTAAATAATTTTTTCTAGCTCATGTTTTAATAAGTGTGTAAAAAACGATGTATGTTTTATACTTTTCTTTAATTAAGGAATATATATATATATATATATATATATATATATATAAATTGTAAATAAAGTATAACATTTTATATGCAAGAGATCTTCATGTTGAAATATACTGGTGATGAGATTATTATTATTCCCCTGTTTAAGGAGGAATATGAAATGTAGAGTAATATTTCATGCTGGAGACTGTTGTTTGAATCCTGTCCCAGAAATAATGTTGTTTTGTCTTTTTTATTAACCTTAAAGGAAAACTATGGTTTATTACAACCTGAGCATTATTTTCACAGCTCTGGCTATAGATTATGAACTTTAAACCCACAAAAGCAATTGCTAAAATCTCGGAATGTGGCAACATTGCTAAGAATATAGGTCCAACAGAGCAACAAACTCGAGGATTCAGAACATATAACAGTGATTTGTTACCTGAATGCCCAGATGTACTCATGGGTTCATGTTTTCTCTCTTCTTGCTTTCAGGAAAGTGGCTCCATCTACCTCCAATTTACCTGCGCCACCTCACTCCAGCTCGAGGTAATCTTCGAGGTGCTTGAAGAGTATGACTGGACCGCCTTCTCTGTGGTGACCACCCGTCACCATGGCTATGAGGACTTCCTGGCCATGGTGGAGGGTATGACGGATGGTTCATTCATTGGCTGGGAAAAGAAGAGTGTGGTGATTCTTAATGTGACGGATGACCCTGGCGGGGCCCGAACCAAACGGCTGCTCAAGGACAACGAAGCCCAGGTGAGGCAGTGAAACACTAATATTTATTTTGATTATTCTCCCAACAGTATTTCCTGCTAGGCAAAAGTGTCAAAATGATAAAAAATAATGTCTCTTATGTCAAGTCTCATAAATATTTTTTTTTCTAAAAGCTGTAATATTCAATAGTTATCCTGAAAAATCTGTGCTTCCGCAACACCTGTCCCTCATCTTTACGAGCTGTCTACCTTGAAATGACTTCTTCTGTAGCCTGAGGCTCAGCTAACTGACATCTGTAAAGGCTCCACAAGCCTTAAAGAAGCAGATGGTGAATGCAGCCAATCTCTTGTTTAAAATAAATAATTTCCTCAGTTGTTACTGTGATCTCCTGCTTTCAGCTGCTGGCTTCACCTTTTTCAGCAAAGGTATTGCTACTATTTGGCTATATTTGGCAAACTGACATTTTGTAGTGTACTTTTGTGTAGCTTACCAAAGTTCAACATAATGTGTGAAAGAAAGAAAGGAAAGCTTATATGGTTCTTTTTGTGTTGTCTGACTGTTAGTCAGTGTCACCAAAAGGCAATGAAAGAAAATTTATAAAACAGTTTATAAATTATTATTATTTAATTGGCTACATGCAAATAAACAGTGTATTTCTGATGCACAGATGGAGGCGCTATCATGAGACCAAATACCAAAAACAATATAAATGTCTCCCTTATGAGTTTTTCTCTGTAGGCTGTAGCTGAAAAAACTGTTTCAGATGAACTCAATACCAGGTTAATCCACTTTGTCAGATCAATATATTTGCAGTGCTCTCTTTGCACCTACAGTTATGGCATTATAAGTTACTTCTTCAGGTGTTTTAACCAGAGGAAAAGTTTTGTGGAAAGCTATAACATCTTTTCATCATTTAACATCATTTAAAATTGGCTTGCTTGCAGTAAAAGCCTTCTTTAGGGGAGGTTGACTGAGGACACACTATTCATTTACTGACATCCTGGGGGACCACTTTCACACACACCCACACAAAGTATCGCACACACCTGGGAGCTTTGTAGTGTAACTGCAGCATTCAACTGTTGCAGCTCTGGACTGAGCTGCTCTCTTTAAACATTGAGCGTTTAGTACTTTTCTGAGGGACACTTAAGCAGTGCTTCATCTGCATGATTAAAAAGAGTCTATTTGTGTGATGGTTTTCAATGCAGACTTGCAGACAAAGAAAAAGTCTTTGACAGTGTCATAATGCTACACACTTCATTTGCATGCAGTTTAGTGTTTATCAAACTAAAAGAAAATATGGCACGTAAAAGGATGTAAAGTTGGTGCGTCCAGCTTTTCCTCAAGGGAGAGTTTAAGTCATCTTTTATTTATTTATTTATTTATTTTTGTTTTTTAAAATTAGCATTTGTTCAATGAACATGTCCTCCTACCTAAATGATTAAACAGGTACTTTCCAAGATGTTCCGTTTATATGTTATATAAAATTGTACATATCGGCATTGAGGAAATTGACAATATTGAGTTAGGGTTACAGGCTAGAGGACACAAACCTTGGTCTAGGGTGCTAAGGTCAAATGCTTTGTAAGCCCATCAATGCAACCAAATTTACCTGTCACTGAACTTAATATCACACATCTTACAAACTTAAACATGCATTGATTTAAGCTGTTTGAACAAACAAGCAGGGGTGACTTTAGTTTGGCCAATCACAGTTGAAGAGAAAAATGTTATTGACATCATTGTATAGTGTGGAAGAAAAACAAAACGTTTCCGTGAGCACATTCTGGCAGGTTTTAGTGTTTGTGTCCGAGGAGTAGCATAGTGCTGCTACAATGCCCAATACCTTATTTCAAGCTAAATGTTAGAAAGCTCCGCAGTCTTTGTTAGCATCCTTAAAAGTGCAGCTTTAAAATGAAACATACTTCAGAAATCAGTACAGTGACCCATTGCCTAACACATCTGATAGCGAGTAAGGAGTTTCTGGGTGCCACAGGATCTTTTCTCTTCCTTCAACCCAACCCTCGTCTTTGTACATAAGCAATATATCCTCTGTCTATCTGTTTTACTCTGTTTCTCTCTTTCACACCGTCTTTTTAATTCATATTCATTCCTGGCTCTCATCATTTTACCATTGTCCGCGTAAATGACCTTTGTTAAAATGAAGTCCATGAAAGGCAGAAAGAAAGATGAGGAAAGGCAGAGGGCCAGAGTGAACATGATGTAATGTAATGAAAGTGATGTAGTGGTGAAATGTTGAATAGCAAGGAAGTGAATGAACTCAGCTTTAGATGTGGAGATGTACACATTTCAATGTATTTTTGAGAGAATAAGTCTGTACAGGTGCAGCATATTTTAGGAGGTGGGGGAATGCATTTCTAGCCATGATAGAGGCAAGGCTGTAGGGATGTCATTTGTGAGCCTGTCTGTCTGACTGTCTGACAGTCGGCCAATTGATTTACCTCTTTGGTCCAGACTGAAATATCTCAACAACTATAGGCCATTTTATATTCATTCTATAGACCACAGCAACCATTTTGATTTCTCAAGGCAGGAAATGCACAGGTAGACATAATAACATTAATGATGACCTCATCCCATTAGATGAGCTACTTCAGGGCTCTGGTGTTGAGCATGCTCACTCACTGGGATGGCTGGGACACTTAATGGAATTGAGCTATTGTTAATGTTATTTACTCCTGTGCTTTCTCTAATTTGACAAGTCAAAATGTCTGCTGTGAGAAGTGTCTACTGGGTGTATTGCAAAAACATTTAGTACAAATATTCATGGTTACCAGAGGATGAATCCTACTGACTTGGGTGATCCTTTAGGACCACTCGCAAGTCGGATTGGCACAACTTTCTGCATGGTACCCAAACAATGTATCTTGATGACTTTTGTCACAAAAAAAGTGAAATGTCTCAAGAACCATTGGATGCTCTGAAAGCAATGCAGTTTCAAGTATGTTTCTTGTTAATGGTTTGAAGGTAAATTCAATTGTGTGGAATGTTTGTATTGGCGGTGACATTGGTATTTATGGAAAAAAAAATCTATTCTGTGTTACTGTTATTGACCACCATTAATTTTGATCAAATTCTCAGTCTATACAGACTATTCGTTCAGATTAATACAAAGAACTTGAAATCTTATAGTAGACTTTTTGTAGTATTTCTACCTTGTGGATTTAAAGGTTTTCTTAAATCTTAAGGCTACTGCGGGTGTCACATTTTATGTTTCAAATACATCGATTGTTTTCAAAGGTCCAACATGTACCGGAAATGTCAAGTGGTTCTTCACTTGTCAGCTGAGAACTGCTGTGGCTGCTGGACTATTATTAAATGTCCCCAACTCATATGTCCACTTCAAAACCAACAATGGTAAACAATGGGCAGTCATGCACCAAGTTTTGGGCAGTCTCCAAGGATACATTTTTTTCCACTGAAATGTTGCCTTCTGGGTATTGTTTCTCAGGTGCAGGGTCTGTATCATCCATCTAAATATGGTTTTATTTTTTACAACCACATATGAAAACGTGTCCTTGAAAAAATTGCTTATTGTATCTGTATTCACCTTCCTGTCCTAAGGACCACAGTGTATGGGGCCTTAATTTCATCTCACTCAGTTCTTGGGACTTTTTTTGAATGAAACTTTTTTGATGTCAGCTATAGTTACATCATTGTCTTTTTCCCTTTTTCACACATTTAGCCATTATAATTTGACTATTAAAATTAAAAATGAAAAAGAATAAAATACACTTACAAACATTTTAAGGGACAAAGGTGTTGGCCTATGTTGCGTCCTGGAGAAGCACCTTCAAGCCTTAAAGTGGGAAGGACTAAAAAAGAGATAATTCAGTCCTGTTGATCCCAGTCCACACCTAGACTTCCTTTAAACCAGTAGCCAAGGAAAGAGAAAACTTTGGATGCCAGATTTGGCTTGTGTTGGCTCCTCAGGTTTCAGGAGTCAATGACCTCTGCAGTTAGTTGTCCACCATTGTACTATGGTATTGCCTGTTTTTATTATTGTAGTGTAGTGTTGTTCACACATTGTCACTGTTCTATTTTAAAATGCTGCTAGCTGGGTCACTCTTTGATAATGTATCTATAGTAGCATTAGGCATCAGTATTGAATGGCATCTGTGAGTTGGACAAGCCCTTGCGCACACACACACACTTACGCACGCACACACACTCTTGATGTTGGAATCGTTGATTAATTTTGGTTCAGCCTTGTCTGTGCTCTGTTTGAATATAATTCAGACAGAGGGAACTGTTTCCCGCTGAGACTTTTCTTTACTGCTCTCCCTATCTCACCATCTCTCTTTCTCTCCCAGCCTCCCTTCTCCTCCTGTTCATTCCCTCCCTTTCCCATCGTACATTAATCCAAGCCGTATCTAGATGCGAACAATCTGTATTTCATTTAAACTTGAAATTAAAATTAGCCTTCAGTGCCCCAAAGAATTCCTCTGCCCCTCACCAAACATAAATATGCCTCGCCGACCTGACAACTTTCTGCCACAGCTAATGCAAAATTATTAATCTTACGTGTCTTTTATGCATAATCTAGGATGCACTGGGGAGGCTGTTGTGCTGCATGGGCCATTTATTTTACTTCAAAGCTTGCCTTCACCATTGACATACCGCAGGCATCAGTTGATGATATGCATCTCGTGTTGTGACTAGTAAGCAAGATAGCAGGCTTGTTATTTTTTCCTGTACATGTCAGAATCACTTAAGTTTATCATTCCAGGAGAACAAATGCATGACAAATCAAGCAGTGCAGTAACAGAAACTACCTGTGTAATGCATACTTTTTTATTCAGACGATGATATTAAAGTGTAGTTTTTACTAGGTTTTGTACTTAAATGGACTGATATCTCACTTCACTGATATGAACTGACTGGAAACAATTAAATTAATGAGAGCAGTCACAGAAAACAACGAGTAAATATGTGGGCTATGAAACTAAAACAAAGAACTGGAAGATGCTAAAATGCTCCAAAGAGCTGAAGGGAACTGAAGGGAACCATAAAGTTGGGAGAACATTTTCTGTGGGATTGTTGCTACGTGTGATTCTTTTGACATTACACAAAGTCATTTGATCCATTATCAATATAACATTTACATTGGTGCATCTTAAAGTTATAGAATGGGATGCTGAATATATTAATTTTTTGTGATGACAATTTATTGATTTTTAGTTATGCTGGCGTATGTTGCAGTTTTATTCCTGACCTCTGAATGCCTGGTATTGTGAGCTGTCAAGGGTGAAAATGGAAGTGTTCCTTTGTAAAATTGAAATACCTACCTCTTGAAAAACATGCAAAACTTTGTACAAAAACAATTGTGTCACAAAATTAAATTATATCAAATCCTAGTTCTCTATTTAAATATTATTTTGCGTTGAGTATTTGGCATTTTGGAAAGAGACATTTATTTCAGCCTCTTGATGCGATTAAGCTCTGTCTGTGAGTCTGTCAAAATATGAAGACCCACAGGGATCTAAATGTAATGTTTTCTTCCAACGTTTGATAAATGAGACACATGCGCTAACAAAGTGATTGATGGCAAGAAATTTTAACGAATTACTTATTTCTCTGAAGGATATCAGAAATCACAGAACTCAGCTCCCTCTTCCAACATTGAGAAGAGGAGTACACTTCACAAATCTGGACTTTATATCATACTTATAGAATGACAAACTTAAAGCTCAAGAAATGCCAATGCTATATGTAAAAAGGTTTAAATATACCCTGACTGTTCAGAGGATGTAGTTGACAGGGATTGAGCGTTAGCTCTGACCTCATACCGACCCCGATTCCATCTGCTGTCAGATGAGTGGGACGGATCAGCGTCATCTCACCGTCCTCTCTGACGCGAGTACCAGTGGCGAATGTCCTGCACGTTACAGGATTCACACACCACATGTCTGCTGGTATCAGATTGTATTGGTAAAGCATTTCACGTTTTGGTTTTGGCTAATTTCAGTTTTATAACCTCTGCAATTGTCTTACAAAACTGTGGCGCAAATTTTTCTCAAGTGCTTCCTCTGAGTAATCATCTGAAGTACCCTCGGCACCAACCACACTCTCTCTCACTCTCGCTCTCTCTCTCACACACACACACACAAAACAGCCTCTTTCCTTTTTCTCACCCTCTTCTAGTTTCACATTTTTACTCTCATTTTGTCTTTTTAATCTTGTTCCCCCCATTCAATTCCCCCTCCTTAATAATGTATGAATACAAAATGCAAGCAGACCAAGAGGCACCATTCTTCATGTGCAGCCCACTTGTTAAATAAATAAATAAATAAATAAAGAGGAGCATTAATGTACAAGTGCACCAAATGTTTTGATGCATAAATTAATATAATAAATTATTGTAAAGGAAACATGAAAGGGCATTATGGGACCAAGCAGCAAGATGCCACAGCAGATGAAAAAGGGGATGGGAATTCACCTTTTACTTCTTTTGCTCTCCATGTCGACTTATCCTTCATTTCTTTTGTGCAATAATTTTTCAACCTCCCTTTATTGCTTCATTCCTTTAACTCCACACCCTTTCTCCCTCTCTTCTTTCTTGTTTCTTTGCATCTTTCCTGAAATACCTCATCTCTTCTCACATCCTCTTTCTAATCTTTTTACTGTTATCTCCTTCCCCTCAACCCTCCTTTGATAATTTTGTCTTTTTCTTTCCCTTTTCGGTTCTTTTTACTGCCTCATTATCTACTTTCTGTCCTTAATTTCATACTTTCTATACTTTTCTTTCATTATATCCCTCCTATTTTTAATGATCCTTCTCTACCTCAATCATGTATTTATTCTTCTCCTGTCTCTTCTTCTGTCTCTGTTTCATTTCATTGTTTTCCTCCCACCCTTCCTCTTTCCTTCTTCTCTTTTTATTAATTTTTCACTCTCCCACTATTTAAACGTACCCCACCCCCCCTTATCCTACCTCTTTTTCCTTCTTGTATTCCTCTACTCTCCCTCCTGCCATATCTGTCCCTTCCCATCCCTCCTTCCTACTTTCCTCCCCCTTCCCTTTCTACTAATTACTTTTCACTCTCTCCCGCCCACCTTTCTTTCCTTTACACTTTCCCTCCCTCTTCTCCTCCTCCAGGTCCGTCTGCTGTACTGCTCCCTGGAGGAGGCTGAGCTGGTTTTCCGGGCAGCCTGGGCGGCGGGTCAGGCCGGGCCCAGTCACATGTGGTTTGCTGTGGGACCTGCCCTGTCCGGTTTAGGCCTGGAGGGGTTGCCCAAGGCCTTGTTCGCCATCCGGCCACAGGGGTGGAGGGATGAGCCACGCAGGTACGAGCAGAGCATTAGACCTTTAATTTTCAAGGGTTCACTTACTATAATTACAGGAAATCATTTAAGACCATTTAAAATCTTAATATGGAGATTTTTTTTTTAATTTTCATGGTTAGACCAATATACATCATATCTGCTTTACTAAGTAGAAAAGGACAAAAGGGACTGCAGTCTCGATGTCCTTGATCTAGGACGTGCCGTGTTTGTTGACATGTCTGCCAGGCCCTAGTATGTAATTTGCAAATTGATCACATTCTGAGTAGAAGGTGTAAATGCGACGGCTCATGATCCAACATGTCCTCCTAAATGACATAATAGGTCGTTTGCTAATGACTTCAGAAAACAACATAGGGAGTACCAGCAATAGGCGGACCAGACTTTTGTCGCCATGGTAGCAATAAACATGTGGTTAACATTTTGAAACGGTCACAGTTTGGTTAGGTTTAGGCACCAAAACTACTTGGTTAGGTTTAGAAAAACATGATGGTTTTCTTAACAGTTTTGGGGTTGAATTTTGTTGTTTCCAGATTTATTTTGTAGAGTTCCTAATGTGTCTCTTTTTGTGTCTCGTTTACTTTTTCTTCCTGTCTTTATGTGTTTTCCCACCAATGTGATTTTCTGACTCGCCTTAATAAGTTTAACCTGTATCTAATTATCCTTCCCTCACTTGTGTATTTAAGTCTTTGTGCTCCCCTTGTCTGTTGCCATTTGTCTCCCTTTTCATTTCAAGCATTCCAGCCCTTTCTCTGTGTTTATTATAAGATTGTCTGCCTTTTTTTTTTTTTGGGCCTCGTTGGTTTTATTTATTGCCTGCCCCCGTTTGGACTTGTTTGCCTTTTGGACTGCTTGCCTGGTTTTGACCCTTGACGGTCTCACCTTGCCGTAAGCCTGTACACCTTTTGTTTTAAAAACACTAAACTCTGCCTTAAAGTCTGCATCTGTGTCCAATCCCTTGTTGTCCTGTTCCACACTTAAACTTACTGTGACAGATTTGGGTTAAAATAAGTAAGCTACGATAGAAGCCTAAGTCACGTGACTTGCGTCCTGTGTTTAAATTAAGTTAAAATAAGTCATTGTTGACTTTTGTTTTAATATGGGACACAAACGGCGGTCTCCTCTGTTTGACCCATCCACCCAAATTCTTTATATTGTCATAATTGTCATAATTACATGGTCGCTGCCTGACAATAAACTTAAATACTGAGTTTCCCTCCAGGGGGAGCTGTACTAAGGTGTACTGTATTTTACCAGTGAAAGCAAAACCTAACCAAGTAGCTCTGGTGCCTAAAGCTAACCAAACTGTGACAGTTTCACAACATGAACCACATATTTGAAAGTCTTTGGTTAGGTTTAGGAAAGATCACGGTTTGACTAAACAAGTAGTCAACATCAACTTTCAGGGTCACACAGGAAGCCAACCCCAAGTCTCCCAGGTTTGTCTGACACATTGATCCACCAAATCTGCTTCTTTCATGTACTCTTTATACTGTGGCATCTGACCTCATACTGACTTTCTGGGAGAAAGCTTCAGGAAAACCTTTCTTTAGTTGCCAATGAATTCATCCTGTTTATCACAACAACTGAAAGTTATTTCTGCCTCCCTTGACAGTGAATATAGGTTGTAATAAGCTGCTTGCACAGACGACCTACTGTATACGGCCGTATTTTGGGGAAGGATGGTCTGCATCAGATGTCATAATTCAGATAATCTATCTAGATTGTGATTGTAAGTCAATATTAAGTAATGAGGTTGGTAATGTCCACTTTACAACAATATTTATTGAGTGTATTAATACAAAAAACAATCTAATTCTGGTTTAAATACTTATTCCTGAAACATCCAAGTAAACCTTGAGTTTTGAATTTCTATCACAGATATGTGTTCTTAGGGTCAAGAATTAACCCCCATGCTCAGTTTTTATTTACCATAAGTTCACAAACATCAGCTAACATTAGCCACTAGCCATACCAGATCCATGAAGGCTGTAGCAACAAAACCCATAAGTGCACCGAATTGTTCAATGGTGTGTTATATTGATTAGAGGTTCAGTTCCTGTCTCTCTGAAACCTGCAGATACCCAGTCAGTGAAACTTTTTTTCTCAAATAAAATGTGATAGTGTAAAACTATAAATGAGGGACCTATTTGTTCCTGCACTTTGAATGCAACTCTTTTTAACAGTTGTGCATGTTCTTAAATGGTTCTTTACAGAACTTTACTGCTATGTAAAGTGTACAGTATGTTGTGAGATTGTTACTGATGCTGAAAATCCATGAAGTTCAGTGTTGGTAGATTATTTTCTCAAGTTAAAATGATTTTCACATGTGAAGTCACTTCTGGAAAGCCGAGCCTTGAAGCTGCTGAAAACCCAACCATATGAGTTTAAAAATGCACGAGGATCAGTGAGAAAATAAACATTCTCTTTGTCATCCTCTTTTGTGCACCTCCATGTTTTCCCTGCATCAACCAGCTGAGGTACACAGTAAAATTTTATGAACCCTTGCTCTGTCCATGATGTGTTCTCTACTACAGAGGTACCTGATTTCACCGCAGGAATCATTAAATTTTCATCTAATCTAATCTAAATAGACTGACCAAGTGAATCCAGGTGAAAGGTAGAATCCTTTATTGATTTTAACAGTTAAGTCCTCCTTAGTCATAACAGAAGACAGAGGCGTGTTAGAAAGTTATTTTACACTTTATGAAGACAGTTCAATAATGTAGGACAATGATGAACATTTTGTGAGATAGCTTTTATTTTTTTATTTTATCACAACAGAAATCAAAACCAGGGAAAGGATTTTTCTTGTATTTAACAATACCACAAACTGTGAAATACGTTTTCTATTTTTCTACAAAACACTGGTACAAAACAGATCAATATACAAACAGCTTTTGTTGCCAAACTTGACTAGATGCGCTACATTTGGGACAATGAAATATCCACTGAGCTCTAGGACATGACTCTTTTTAACATCTTCCTACATCACTCTCTGCCTGATGCCTACCGGCCATCTTGAATCCACTGAGAGGCAGGATTTCTTCCAGCTTTCCAAGCAGCATTTCAAATGTATCTGATTTCTGTGCAATGCTGTGAAATTAGTGTCCAAGTGACTAGCACACTTGTCACTACCAGACAGAATGTCAGGGTTCATTGTGAAACACAGATGGTGTGTCCTAAGACTGGGGCTGGATACTTAGAGGGATGTGACCAACGCAGATGGGTCCTTCTGAAGATCTGACTGTCACACTTAACCTGCACCTCATCCCCAAATGAAAATGGTTAGCCTCACTCAGACTACAACTTGTAGTACATTCAAGCAATATTCAAGCAAAAATGTATCACCAGCATGACGTTATATAAAAGTTCTTGCATAGCAGAAGGTCTTGTAGACAGGTGTGGCGGATCAAAAACCCTGTTAAAAAAAAAATAAATAAAAAAGTCTATCACTTGGACTTACTTTAACTTACTAACATTTTTTTGGACCTCTGAGTTTCATGAGGTAAAAGTCATGTTACATAGCTGCTACCTACAGTATATAAATAAAAGCAGCAGGAACATTTTTTACAAGGAAGTCACATGCAAATGCCAACAAGGTAAATATTAGTGGTGATTTTCGTTTAATTGTACCTGAGTTAAACACATAAAAACATAAACACTTAAACACATAATAATGAAATGGAAAATAATGTACCAAGTATATGGTAAAAGTTGTAATATATCACACAGTAAATCCTGAACTTTTTTGGAGCTTACTCCTGGCTTTCATAATTAACATATTAAAATATTAACACAGTTTCAGGTGTATTTCCGTTTTATACTACTTTATACTTTTACATACGTCTTTAAATTGTACTCCACTACAGCTATAATGACTGTTTTTACAAACAAAAGATATGAACCTTTTATAAGATATGATGCAAGTAGCTAGAAGCTCCACTATGACCAGATACAACATAAAAATGCTGCTTACATGTTTATTTTTCATACATTTTTACATTATGGTATTGCTACTTTTACTTTTTACATCACTGTTGGAGTTTTTTCATTGGTCTTTTTGAAGTGAGACACTGTGTTTACCATTGACTGAAGGCAAATACCTGGTAAAAATGACCATCACCATTGGTCATGTGATATTTCCAGATTTAATGAGTTGATAACACAATTGTGCACATTTGATTATTGGATACTGGGGGGGGATACATCAGCTGTGTCCTCCAAAATGCCACAGTTAAATATTTCAAATGAATCTGACACAGTTATCCCCTCCCTGGTATATTACAGTATATTGTGTGTTGTGTCCTGCGATGGACTGGCGACTTGTCCAGGGTGTACCCCGCCTTGCGCCCGATGTCAGGTGGGATTGTCTCCAGCCCCCCCGCGACCCTGTACGCAGGATAAGCGGTTGACGATGGATGGATGTGTGTTGTGTAGCTGCCTCCTGCTCTCTGCTGCAGTGTTTATGACTGCTGCTGCTGATGGATCCTCAAGAGGGCCTTTCTGGACACTAAAATAATGATGCTTATGATGCGGACCAGTAGTTTCTGTGAACATAAGAAGAAACGGCACACTCCCTGTGATGTCTTACCCCGCTGCACCGCTAACAGCTCTCTCAAGTCATATGTAAAATTAAATTCAGCCTTGTTAACTGATTCAACATATCGTAACATTAAAGAGAAAATTTTATTTATATCCTAGCTTCATTACAGCCTCTTGAAAGTGCCATATTTAATTCATCACCTGACCAGAGCCTATACTGTAGTAGCAGTATCACCACTTTCAAAGTGACAATGGTAGCAACAAAGTACAAAAATGAACCCCCTGCTTCCCCTCCTGAAAACACCATGACTGTGACACCTCAAATTTATATGCAGATCACTTTTGAACTTTTGAACTCTCTCCAACAATTCTTCCTCACTTCATGTCCTGCCCCGCTGGTTTGTTTGAAGTGGTAATGCACTGAATTATAGAAGCAAGACTCCATTTAAAATGCTTTATGATTTGTGATCATTAGATAGGGTTTCCTGCCTAGTTGGAGCAGGCCTTATCATCAGGAATACAGCAAGAGCCTATTGTTGGTCTTCTTAGCTTAATGTATATTATGATGTGAGAAGTGTTTGTTGTTGTTTTTTGTTGCTGTAAGTTACAAATCAGACATATAACACATTACAGACATTTAGTGCTTTTTAAATAGTCTCTTGCTCTGTAAAAGTTTCCTGCAGATCAAGGTCCGATCTATTATATTATTATATATTATATTGTCTTGAGAGAGACAGCGAGAGAGGCTGCTAATATTTATTTATTAGAATGAAGAATACTTTACACATGAATACATTTAGAAAGTGGATGTTCACTGTTGTGCTGAAATTGTGCTTGCTTTAGCTTACTGGCACCAGCTACTTCATAAATCCACCATCAGTGTAGTGCACCCAGTAGGTGTAAGATGATGTCCAATCATATTTATACAGGTGCACAAGCTGGCTTATATAACTTTACACTTTTAACTGACTACTCCGTTAATACCTTAAATCCAACACCGTTTTCTGCTGCTCCCTCCACCACTCTGACCTGGATTGTTGACCTTACGGAATCTAATATATATGTACCTATATGTGTGTGTGAAAGGTGATTTGTTCTTGTTGCAAAACCCTTGCTGCTTCTCTGATTCTTGAGAGCAGCCTATAAGAGCAGAGCAGTTTTGTAACTGTTTGTAAAGATTTGTGAGACAAGAGCATAACTTTTTACGTATACTTACCATTCATTATTTTGCAAACAAAGAACTGTGTATTCTGTCCCAAACTCTAAAAATAACATCTGCCACAAAAAAGGTTCCCTTCCTAAAATCCAACTTTTTTTTATAATCGTCCAACTAGACGTCTAGGCAATAAATCATCATATGAGGATCAATATCAAATTAAATATACTCCTTCAAAGTCACATAACAAACAAAGCCTTTTCTCTATAGGTTAATAGTTTAGGGAAAGATTGTGGTTTGGATTAAAATAACTACTTTGCTAAGATTAGGGAACCTTTGTTGTCGTGGTTACAATGATATACATGTGGTTAAGGTTATGAAACGATCATGTTCATGATTAAAAAGAAACTGACGGTCAGTTTGAAATGAACAGAAGCCATTTGTGTTGTTGACACATTTGTCTACCAAGATGTCTTCCTCTCCTTACATGGACTTTGTTGCTTTCTAATAGCTTCACCTGACTTCCCCCTTTGTTCCTAGGTTTTGGAAGGAAAGGGTTTTGTCACCTTAACATAAACATATTTTTCTTTCGGGCACCTGCTGAAAAGGCTGATGGGCTTGTTCTTGGCCTTTTATTTGAGAGTGATAGGATGTTGGATAGTATCTGTAAATAGGGGAGAGAGGGGGGTCTGTGCCTCTTGTTTAATTGGGCGTAAATCTGGTGTTACTGTCCATATAATAAGTTCAAGTGCCAACACACCACTGGACTAAATCTAAGACAATAACCAAGTTTACATTGAGGTTAAAAGTGAAGTGAAGTTTCCACGCATGAAAGCAGAAGTTTTTCAAGACCAAGATTGATCAAAACATAGGTGGTTTCTGGATGTTTAGGTGGCTAGCTAACAAGATCCAACATATAAATAACACATTTTAGAACTTTTGGAACATGGACGTTTTCTCACAACAAAAGCACAGAAGAGATGAAAAATATCCAATGCTGATGAGTCCAGTTTTGAGCTGAGGAGACAATTTGGATTTTGCTCTTTAGTCTTGATTCATCACTTTTTGTGTGCAGACACCAGAACCTCATTTGTAGATATTGGGCAATTCTACAGTGTCTCAGTCAGTGGATATGCAATTACTTTCCATTTTGTTGAAGTCACACATAATTTAAACTGCCAAGATTGGTGTTCTTAAAAATATTGTCCAGTTCAGCTTTACGGCACAGATGAGGAGTCCATTCATTTTTCCTCATAAGTTCAGCTCAATTAAGTTTGAGATTTGGTGCATTTTCATTGTCACACGGTGTGCACTTATTCAAGCAGTGATAACTGTCTTCCACCCAGACAATGTCTCTCTGTCCTGTATGCCTCTGTCTCACATTGTTCTCTCACTAATCCTGCAGGCGCATTGCCAAAGGTGTCTCAGTGCTCACCCATGGGGCGATGGCTCTGCGGAGGGACCAGGGGGCCTCCAGTCGGTCGCAGTACGCCGGCAACTGCCAGAGCGACGGCAACCAGACCCACCGAGTGCCAGACAGAATCAGGTGAGATGGAGGGAGAGGAGGAGGCACGGGGTGACTTTGAATTTTGATGTCATTCATACCGGCTTCTGACACACAGCAGAGTGAGCAAGCAAACAGCAGAACACCATGGAAAAGTAAATAGTGGCAAGCGGTGTTATTGAAGCTTACATATTCGGAGCATTTCTAGAAAGCTGAGTCATTCTGACCTGAAAACAGCTGTTTTGTTTCAATTGTTATGTTTTAAAGGTAAAACTGCACATGGTGGCTAGAGATGGAAAGTTGGACTTCTGTGTAACTGATCTTGTACTTGTGAATGCTACAGATTTAGACGGTTGATTACCGTACATCGTGATCATAAGGTCAAACAAATGTTTTTTCTTGTTTTTGCTCTACATATTAACTTTGCATTTGTACATATTTCATAATAAAGACCTTGATACAGAGAGCTACTTCATTCTGCAACTCAGCAAGACTATTTAGAGTCACATTCAGTACTGCCAAAAGATTTTGTTAAGGAAAGGACTGGTGCTAGTTGCCAATGAGTGAAAAAATGCAGTTGTCTGTGTATTCTCACAATGACACTGATATCTGAAAAAAGGGGTTTTGCATTGACTTCTCTGTTGATTTCGTAACATGGGTGTGTTGGTTATGACCATTGATGCACAACAGCAAATAGATCTGAAAATAAATCTGTTGTAAAATCTTGCAATATAAGGTGTGTCTGAAATCCAGGGGCTGCTATACATTTGAAGGAAGATGTGGCCCACAAATATAAATATAATTATGTCCTTCAGAGGACTGAAGGCCATGCTGAACCTGCTCTGTACCGCCAATTGGATTATTTGGCCTCATAAAAGAAAAAGGAAAAGGTCTGAAGATGAAGGTCTAGTAACAAAACATTGCAAGCTTTTAAAATTTATTTTTGGTAGGTTAGACAGTGTGCAGGAGTTTCTTTGCAAAAGAGAAACACAAAATAGTAATGTAGCTTGCTGCCCCTCTGACCACAGCAGCATCCCTGGTGGATGTGGTCTGATTTGTGCTCTACTGCACCTGTGACCGCACCCAACAGTGATATCAGGTTGTACTAAAAACATTAAACCACTGGAAAAAAAGGATTGGGCAAAGAATGTGGGGTACTGAAGGCCAGAAAGGATATGTGTGTTATGTCTAAAATCTTAAAATGTGCTATAAGGGTGCATCCCCTAAATTGAAACAGTGCAAACATTCAACCACATGTTGTTGCATCACGAAGCAAAAGCAGCTTCCTGCATTACAGTTGATCTCCAGGCATTTCTCATATATCTGTCACTGTTACAAACCAGGGAGAAAACCATACACAGTAACAAAACACCCAAGCTTTATATTTACATTTGAGACAATTTGCCCTTCTTACCCAGAGGGACTTTAAATACGTAGAGGGAAAATGAGCAGCGGAGCAGGATAGCAAAAGTCCAACTTGTAACTGCATGCTTGATTGACTGCTGCTGCTCTTTGGCACAATCCCCTGTGGGAACAGTTTGGAGAAGTCAGATTCCGCTCTCTTTTCAGCTGTCAGGTTTACAGGAGCTGTCTGGTAAACTGCTGCCAGACCGGCTCTGGAGTTTGTGTTCAAATTTACTATTGTATAGCATTCACAAATAAATTGCAGGAAAAATACAGAATATGCATGAAGGGCGGTTTGTACATTGGGCTCCATTAAGTCAAATTTCAGGAAAAACCTTTGTATCAGGAGACAGAAGCACAAGTGAATGAGAAACTCTAATCTCAACAGATAATGTCAAAATGCCCTTAAGTAAGGCACTGAATCCTGCACTGCTTTATTTGAACTACAAACCCAGTCCACTACGTCAGACTGTGTCGCATTACGGCTGCGTTGCGGCTGCCGGAGCTAATGGCGGCCATTCTAGTCAATGCTTGTGCTTCCACCAGACGCAACTGCAGTGCATCCAGATCAAAGTGAGTAGTCAGCCATATCGTTAAACAACAATAAACACAGTTAAAACAGACAAAAGAATCATGGCAGAAGCACATAAAGGAGGCACTAATTACCAAAATCAGGATAAACAGATTCTGAAATGCTCCCTGTGTGATATGCGGCCCCGCAGATGATGGAACAAAACCATGTCACAGAGTGCAGTGTAGAAGTTAACAGAAGCACAGAAAGGACAAATACCAACGAGTCAGTAACGTGGGGCATGATTAATGCTCCGCTACTGAAAAGTTTCCACGACTCTTCCAGTGGAAGTTGACGCCTGGCAGAGGCAAAACTGTGGCACAGTCGTTATGTGACGCAACCAGACTCATTAGACTTCAGGAGTAAGAGAGGGCTGGTGCTGTGCTGGCTGAATTTGGTAACTTTCTTTGTTCATGGACAGCAGAAGAGATGATGAGTATCTGAGATCATATCTCTGAATTAGTTTTGCCTCATTATTGGTGGTATGTCTTGCAAATGTCAACTTAATGCCAATGGTGTCAGGTTACATTGGCAATACGTGTTTTTGCAGTATGTGTTTATTCATTACAAGCAGCAAATGCACCAAGCACAAACATTAATCATATAGCTACCAACATATAGCCTGTGTTTGTTAGCATTTTTGTGTGACCGCTCAGATTTAGACTTATCTCTAACTGCAGTTCTCTCTTTATGAAGTTATACAACTAAAGTTCTTGAACATAACCACGCCTCTCTCTCTCACTAATTCAGCCTGTAAGATACCTCATTCAATTCCTTCACCCCGTGCCTTCCTAATCCAATCGCCGCACATCCTTATATAAGCTCATTTGTCTTCCTTCCCCCCAAACCCTGTTTCTGCTCATTTCTCAACGGTGGTCCAATGGACAACACTGGCCAAACAGCAAGAAGGTCCCAGATTTGGACTTTGGTCATGCCTGGCCCTTTCTGTGTGGAGTTTGCATGTTCTCCCCGTGTTCGCGTGCATTTCCGCCGGCCGCTTCTGTTTCCTCCGACCATCCAAGACACGCATGCTAGTGTTAATAATTCCACCAAGTAACTGCTTTTTTTCTACCACAGGAACCACAGGGGGTTGATACTAGGGCTGAACGATTAATTGCAACTGCGATATTATCGCAATGTGATAAAACGAGATTTTCTAATTGCAAAGGCTGCAATTCCATTCTGGTCACATGACACCCAAGAGTAAAGCAGTCTGCAGAGGAAGCATCAACTTCGCACGTTACGCTGTACCTTCACTTGTGGTTGTACAATGGCCGTAAGCTTGACAGAAGCTGACACTAAAGAAACTTTAGTGTCACACAGGGTAGCTGGGTAGCTCAAATCAAGCAATATGATTGGTTCATGGTTCAGTGATATAATGAGCTTATATAACAGGTATGACTTTGAATTCCTTTGCACAGATCCGTATCACTCCGCACAAACAGGGTTCGAGTTATAATCTTTATAATATATAATCTAATCAGCCAATAAAGCTGAATTGAATTAGTCTGAGCTTCGTGGGGGTCTCACGCCACATTTACACGTGGAATTAAAATGTGATCTGATACAGATTGCACTTTAGCGGCGGAGATAAATAAATAAATAATGAGAGAGAGAGAGAAAGAGAGAAAGAGGGAGAGAGAAATCATTGCTTTTACGTGATTCAACATGTCCCTCTCTCACACACACGAAAACACACACAAACATACACAGCAGTCCACTACTTGCCCCAGATGTCTGTGATATTGCAACAAAGTTTAAGTTTCAATAGCCTGTTCAAAAGACTATTGCTCAAGGAGAGACGTAATTCCGCCCTTTATGGTAGGTATAATATTAAAGTGTTATTATTTTACGCACTGCTTGCCGCCGGCACAGAGAAAGCATACCGTAAAACTACAATTAATAGCCGAGTCCCAAATAGCCACCTACCTCCTTTACTGGCCTGGTGTGGGAACATATTTTGACAAACAAACACCTGCCTTAATTAAACGCTTGGTCTGGTTTTTATAGAAGTTCTTTGGGTGTATAAAACCTCTTAAACCCCGCGGGGTTGCTTTAGCTGCTTCAAAGCTGCTTAGATCGTTAATACAAATATTAATGTTTAAACGTATGATCAATATGTCAATATGGACATGCTGAACATCGTTAGATTGGTTAGATTCTCCACAATACCACTGTTAAGTTCATTTAACGGAAACAACAAGACGCAAAGTCTAATTCCTTGATTAATTATATTTCTTTAGTCTGTCAGGGTCCACTGATCAAAAGAATCAAAACAGCTTTTTTAGAAAAATTTATCCAAGTTGTGAATCCTGTCATGTGAAGTCCATCGCTCTCTTGTCGGCTAACTTCTCTCATCCTGCATCGTGTAGTTGTTTTCTAGGTTGCTGTCTAAAATAAAAGCGCATAGGCCGTCTGTCGTAGCTAGATCAAATGAATGACATGTATTTGAACTTTTTACATAAGTATTATTCTGTTTGAAATAAATCAACTGTTTCACAGTTGTTTCAGTTTTGTGCAAAAAGAATTAAAGGCCTGTCCCAAATAAAGGCAGGACAATTCAGTGATTTTAGCAAATAAAAGCCTGGGCTATTATTCAAAGTTTTATTATAAGTTACCAAAGTCAATCTACTGCCGCTGAACAGTTTCTACTGGCTCTACAATAAACAGCAACGTGCATATATAAATAGTTCTAATAATTCTAGCCTTTAAAACTGTTTTATAAAAGCAATAGCTCACTTCAGGCCGTGATATACGCTTATTATATCCCAGTTAAGGGGGTTGCCGAACAACGCCCCTTAACTGTGATATAATAAGCGTATATCACTGGCCTATTGTGAGCTATTGCTTAATTATTTAATGCCATGACTTAACTCTCAAATTATCTTTCTCATATTATTAAAATATGATATTTCTTCTCCACCATTGCTCATAATAATAATTCATGCAATTCATGCATCACCTAATTTCATCATAACACAGGCCTGACCCACAAGAAAGAACAGTGTAAGTTTAATCTAATATTGCGTTGGTCATACTATACACTGATTTACTGCTTGTCCTGATT